TAATTTTAATTAAATAATGCTAGTAACTACTTACTTCCATCACCCTCAAGTTCTACACAATTACTCACCCACCTCCAACACCTTAATCTCTATATTTCTAAGGTAACTAACCCACACCAAGGGTATCACAACACATTAAATCACCCATCAACACGTAGAAATGTACAACACCACATAATTAAATTATGAAAAACAATTTAAATAAAATTGAGGCGTTACATGATGCACTTCATTTTGTTACCTTTATTGATGATTGTTCTAGGAAACTATGAGTTTATGCCCTGAATACAAAAGATCAAGTGTTCGAGAAGTTCAAATAATTCCAGGCTTTGGTAGAGACGCAGGCAAGTGAGAATCTGAAATGTGTTTGTTCTGATAATGATGGTGAGTATTATGGACCATTTGATTCCTATTGCAAGCAACGCAATATTGCACATGAAATGACTCCTCCTAAAACTCCTTAATTGAATGGTTTAGCAGAGAGGATGAATCAAAAACTAATTGAGAGAGTAAGGTGTATGATCTCTGAAGCTAAGTTATCAAATCATTATTAGGGTAAAGCACTTTACACGATGGTGCTCGTTCTTAATCTTACTCCTACTGTTGCTTTGAACAGTGAAGTTCTAGATAAGATTTGGTTTGGAAATAATGTCAAGTATGATCATTTGAGAGTCTTTAGTTGTAAGGCTTTTGTGAATATTCCAAAGGATGAAAGATCCAAGTTGGATGAAAATTCAAAACAATGTATATTCATCGGCTATGGGCAAGCTGAGTTTGGTTACATGTTGCATGATCATGTAGGAAAGAAGCTTATCTGAAGTCATGATGTAGTATTCATGGTGTTAGACTACGACGACTTATATAGAGGATGGTGAATAGATCCCCATATTAAAATAACATTTAAACATTTTTTACTTGAAAACTTATTTGAAAAACAATGTTGAGCAGAAGGTTTTTGGCCTAGATAAAAAATACTAGTCTAAATGAACCTAGTTATTAGAAACTCGGATATGCACAAGCCATATGGAATTAAGATAATGATAAAATCAAACAACATAATAATATATCAATTAATAGTTTAATATCAAACACAATGGTTTTCTATTTCAAAAGAAATTAAAACAAAAATATAGAACATTGCAATTTTTCAAACACTTGGTGTGCGTCGACTTTTCAAAATTTTCTTTGAGTTGTGTTGATATGAAAACAACTTATAATCAAAGTGATTATAAGTTAATCAATATGGCGCTTTAAACAAAACAACAGCAGAAATTTTTTTGAGTCAATCGATCAAAAAATTTGTCAAACGCTTGGTGTGCAATCAAAATTTTCAGAATTTTCTTTTGAATTGTGTTGATATGAAAAAACACTTATAATAAAAAGTTGTTATAAGTAAATCAACACCCAATTCACAATAAAAATAGTCCCAGAAAATTCCTACGATTCGATCGATTACTCAATGCTATTTGACAAATTGATATATGAAAATTAATGCAAGTAAAACGATAAAGGAAAAGAGACACGAGGATTTGTTTACACAGTTCCCCACTTTTGTCCTCGCGTGTGGGTACGTCTGCGCCCAATTCCAATATGGAATTAGAATACTTTCTTACTTAGCAAAAAGTATGATTACAAGATAAGTGTTCAAGAGAAATCCTACGAACCCTAACCATTTGTTATTGACTTAACCCCTTCTCTTCTTTTGATCTTCAACAAGATCAAGCACACAATAGATTTCTAATTGACTATCTGGATCTTGCTACTCCTTTGTGTTCTATATCTCCAAATCTTTCGTGCACCATTAATTTCATATATTTCAACACAGGACTTCAATTTGATTCTCCATTCTCGTGCTACTTTCTTTGCATTCTTTATCTCCAAAGGGAACTTTGTTTTCTTTATCTCTAAAGGCTTTTACTAGGCTGCAATCCTCTATTGAACGTCTTGCATGAAAACCCCCAAATCAATCAATGATCTTGGAGGATATACCCGTGATTTTTTAGGATGAAGACCCCTGCAAATTTCAACCCAATATTCTCGGCTACACAAGAACCTAATTGGACGTTATCAAACCTCGTCTAGATGGCACCCCAATAAAAGACCGTTACAATAGAATGTTAGTGTGTATGCATAGGTTGGAAGTTGAAGGTGAAGAGCAATTGTAGGAAATTTTTATGGTATCATCAAGTTGGAATGATGAATGAGAGATATATTTATAGTTATGGAAATATTAGGGCAAAAGAGAGAAATTCAGAAAGAAACTATAAAATTCGACCTTTGAAACAGTATGAGCCAACATGTAGCTTGGATGAGTCGGCTCATAGTGTTAATTTTAACAGCATGAGCCGGCCTAAAATGACCTATGAGTCGGCCTGAACAAAAAAGAAAAGAATTGCTTATTTAGGACAGTAAATGAGCCGACTTGAAATGGCTTATGAGTCGGCCTGACCAAGACAGAAGAAAAAAACTTATCCAGGACATTACATGAGTCGGCCTAAAAATGTTATGAGAAAGCACATGTAAGTGTGTTTTGTGTAGAAAATGATTTTTCATGATTTGGATAAATTTTAAACTTGTTTTGAATACTTCCTAAGACTTCTAATGCAAGGGTACATCAAACGACACATAGATATCGTTCAATATACAAAAATGCTAAATTTTCCTAGTTTTGACATCAAGAAATACATCTAATGGTGAAGTTGCACTCACACATAGAAGACCAAACTATTGAAGAAATTGATAATGTAGAGATTATTACACCAAAGAAAGATATTCGTTTTTCTAATGTTGATCCAGTTCGGTTACCTAATCATAATCTAGATGCTATTGATAGTGATGATCATAATGGTGATCCATATGATTATGTTGGTAATAAACAACTTGGAGATGAGGTAAATATTCCAACTAATGATGATGATAAAGGGGAAAATGATATGACACAGGATGAGAATCTTGGTGAAGCTCCAGAATCATCTCAAGTTCAACTTAGGAGGTCTATCAGGCAAAGACAACCTTCTACAAGGTATAATTTTGATGAGTATGTGACCTTGACTGATGAGGGTGAATTTGAGTGTTTTCAAGAGGTCATGGAAAGTGATCAGAATCAAAAGTAGTTGGATGCAATACATGATGAGATGAAATCATTGCATGATAATCACACTAATGATTTAGTGAAGTAGCCTAAAGGCAAAAGGGATTTGGAAAACAGGTGGATTTATAGAGTTAAACATGAAAGCAACGCTAAGTCTCCAAGATATAAAGCTAGATTAGTGGTGAATGGTTTTCGCCAAAGAAAATGTGTAGATTTTAATGATATTTTCTCACCTGTTGTAAAGATTTCATCAATCAAAACCATATTGAGTTTAGTTGCTACTCTTGATTTAGAGGTTGAGCAAATGGATGCGAAAATGGCTTTCCTTCAAGGTGATTTGGAGGAAGAAGTCTAAATGAAACAACCTGATGGTTTTCAAGTTAAAGGCAAAGAAGAACATGTTTGTAGATTGAGAAAAATTCTATATGGGTTGAAGCAAGCTCCAAGGCAATGGTACAAGAAGTTTGAGTCCGTTATATATGATCAAGGATATTAGAAGACTACTTCAGATCATTGCGTCTTTGTTAGAAAATTTTCCAATGATGACTTTATTGTCCTGTTGTTATATTTTGATGATATGCTTATTGTATTGAAAAATATTTATAACATTAACAGGTTAAAGAAACAGTTGGGAGATTCATTTTCCATTAAAGACATGGGGGCAACTAAACAAATTATTGGCATTAGAATCATGTGTGACAGAAAAGAAAATAAACTTTGGATGTCACACACACACACACACACACACACACAACTTTTGACTGTTGGAATCTTCAAAACAAGGTATGAATTGAGAGATATCAGCTTTGCACTAAAGCTGTAGATTTGGCAAATTTTTCAGATTTTCTATACTTATTTGTAAGTTTGTTTGTTTTGTGATTTGCGGTTGTTATCACTATTTTGTGAATCACTTTAAGACTCTCTTGTATCCTCAATTGATTATAGTGGAGCTTTTTCTTTGGTCTGGACGACTCGTGGTTTTTACTCTCATATTGAGGAGTTTTCCACGTTAAAAATATCGATATTATTTTGTGTCTTTATTATTCGGTTGTCGTCTTATATTTGTTATTGATCCTCAAAATTCCTACAAATTTGAGAAATATTATATCCACTTTATATTAGTCTATTATTGTGTCTTAATTTCCCATGAACTCCTTTCTTATTCTTATACTCCTTCCTTATTCTTATATTAGCTTCCAAAGTTAGCACATGTTTAGCTACATTTCCATACCTATGTCTTAAACTATCTGCCCATATTGTCTCCTTTTCCACCAATACTCTCTGGTGCCACTTACACGAGAGGGTATATTAAAGTCTCCTACATTCTTTCACTCCTAGACCTCATTTGTCTTTTTCGCATCACACATTTTACCAATTAACCCAATAATTTTTTCTTTTTAAACTTGAACCTTCCCATAGGAAATTTTGTTGAATCTTTACAATTTCTTTCCAAACCTGCACTAGTACTTAGTAGAATCATACATAATGAACTGAAATGCTGTTGAATGTTGAGTTTATCTATGTGACTCACCCTCCTATATATAATTGTCTTCCATTCCAATAGGACAATCTTCCTTTGAGCCTATTTATTATAAGGTTCCACATTGAGATTCCATCCTTTTGGAGCCAAGGTCTATCCTCTTTAACATGTATCTTAAAAATTTCCAGCTAAAATTGTTATACCCTTTCTCAAACATTTTAATAAAAGACTGAACCAACCTAAAAAGCTTTAAAATTTTGAAAAACTACTTTCACTAAAAATTTAATTAAAATAATCTCCTTCATTTGGTTCTTCCATTGAACCTCAATGTGTGTTCAATCAATTACATTGCAATTAAAAAGTAGATAAATCATAGAGAAACATTTTTGCATGATAGCCTCTAATAATTGATTGAAGTAGATAAGAATTTTATGAGTAAAATTTGTAAGTCTTGGCTTCACGGATGATATTTCTCAGGGCTCCAATAGGTGCTAAAATAATTATACATAGGCCAATCACAATACATATCTGTAACAAATAGATTAAAAATAATAAATTAATATACGCTGAAAACATTAATAAATTATTTCATAATAAAAAATACCTACCCAATTAGTACACCAAGATAAACTGAATCTTTTAGGTTTATATATTTTAAGCCATATGATACATGGAAGCTGCAAATTCAATAAAATTAAGATTTGAGAAAAATTATAAAAATAATAATTCTAAGAAAAACTTACTATTTATAATTTTTCATGACTTACAAAATATGTTGTTGGAGTAACAGCAAATCCTCCGAAAAATCCCAATAAATTTCCGAAAAATGGGAATGTAATAGCAATGAACACTGTAAATGCTGAAAAGAAAAATGTATATTAATATACAAAACCAACAAAAACACATTATTAAATGTAAATAAATATAACATTATTGCATAATTAGTTTATGAAAAAGCATAACTAAACTAATATTGTACAATAATTAATTTTACTTACCCACATATACATTACGAACAACAAAACGAAGGATGGTACTTGGTTTAAAATTCAATTTCTTTACCAATACACTTTCAAGCATGTCAAACATTGGCATTGCAAAAACCTACACCCACAATAAAAAAAGCTGTTTCAAAACTACATTCAAACTAAACATAATTGTTATTTCAATGATGATAATTTTTTATAATAAGTAATAAATTTTACCTGATAGCTTCCAATTACATGGAAAACAACAAACATGTTGGCCATTGCAATTATCCAAGTTGGTTTCTCTAAAGAGATGAGAACATTATCCTTAACCTCATTACCAAACACCCAATAACCAATAACAGCAACAGGCCAATAGCACAAAGCAACAATGATATAGGCAACAACAACTCCTCTCCACATTGAAACCTTAGATGGTTTTTCAGGTGTTGATGGAATTGTTGCTTGAATTTCCAATACCACACTGTGTCCAGCATAAGCAAATGCAACAGAGCCTATTGCATTAAATACATTAAAGATTAAGTCTGCGGTAGTTGCAGATGTATTTGTATATTGCACATTTTTTTGTACTCCCTTATGAGCGCTAGCCGTCCAAGCAATTGTAGAGTAACTATAATGAAATACAAATCATCAAAAGAAATATAATATATAAGCTTAAAAATTAGTATTGTAAAGAATAGAAAGAAGTTGATATACCCAATAGACATGACTGCTGCAACCAAAGATACACCAGAAATGGAGTTGAAGCTAGGTAGATGAGACAATATAAATTGAGCAGAGGCAAATATCATAATGAAAAAGGTTAATTTAATCTTTTTGCAGCTTGGACACACTGTATCATGAAACTTCTGCAATGATGCACCCCCGGTTACCATGTAGACAATAGTTCCACCAAGCATTACTACAACTTGTTGAGGAACCACAATATAAAGACCTAACTTTTCTCCAAATGCATGTTGACCTAATTCATGGTATCTATCAAAACGTTTTCCTGGAACTATTTCATGCATCTCAACCATTTGCCACAATGTGTATAATGTAATGATCCATGAAATGATAAGTAAAGTTATACCAGGACCCCTGAAAAGAGTAAAAGAAATAAATTTATAAGTGAGTAAAAGAAATAGTAGATGTTAAAGAGTAATTTAAGTTTGAAATCAATATACCATCCAAGCTGTGATATAGCATAAGGGAGACCAAGGACACCAGCTCCAACCATGGCAGTGATATTGTGGAAAGCTGAGTACCACCATTTTGCACTTCTATCAGCATTAACAGGAAGCCACTCATCAATTTTCTTCTCCCTATCTGATTTTTCTTCAATCTATTTGAATGATAACAATAAAAATTTAAATGAGATAAAGCTCTAAAATAATAAGTTAGTCAAATCAAGATGTTAGAAGTAAATATACAAATAAACACAACAGAAAAGGAAAAAAAAATTACATGTTTCTGCTAGTATCTTGATATATATGAATATAGAGAAGAAGAAAAAAGTTATGCAAATAATTTTATTTATTAAACATATTTAAAAAATAATACTAACAACATTTAAAGAAAAAAATCTCAGAGTACTCGAATTTGGTAAAGACATTTTATCAGTATTTAATTATTTCTTTTATTTAAGTGAGAGACAGCTGCAAAATTTTAAAAATTCAAAGTATTTGAACACTTTATAAAAAAATAAAATGTATTTGGACGAAATCTGAGATATAGACAAAAAAATCTCTAAAAAAATGTTCCTTGAAAAAGAACAAAATAAAAAGTTACATTATAATTTCACCGTCTATAGTATATTTTTTTAGATTTGTTTGATATTTAAAACGGGCAAAATTGATGTATTTGATTTATATATTTAATTAAATATATGAATTATTTTAAGAGTCTCTTATTAAAAGAACTTGAAGTAATAGTATCTCATGTTCTATCACAGTTATTAATTGAACTGTCTTATTGTTGAAGTAGTAGTACGGTTACACCGGTTACAAAAAGAAAAATACTAAAATTATGTAGTTTTCCTCAACAAAAGAAATGTATACATGTTTGTATAAATTTGATTTAATTTCAACATGCAAAATTGCTAATAAAAATGAAGAAATTATGCTATAGAAAATAGTATAAAGAGAGACACTTACAGATTGGGGATGAGGAGGAAGACTAGATTTGAGAGCATTTGGTGATTCCATGACAAGCAAAGTGAGACACAAGAGAAGTGAAAGGTTGTAGTGTTTTAATACAAGTGAAATTTAATGCACATGGTATTTAATAGATGAGTGCTGTGATTTTCATTTACGTATTTGATCTTTATTTTAGTCTAGATACACTCGTGAGTAAAAAAAAAAGGTCAAATACGTATGCACACATTTTTAGGTCAAAATAAATGTACATATTTTAAGAAAATAAAAAGAAAAAGCAAATAAAATAAATATTATAATTGATCTATTTTTTATTATTTTAGCTAATTTTTGTTTAATTAAATTTAAAATCTTACTAGTCAAATATTAATATTGAAACTAAAATATGTGTTTTCATACTTTAGGATTAAATAAAAAAATAATTTAATAAATTATTAATTTTGGCTTTACTTCTTTCAAATTAATTTTCTTTCTCCGCGTAGAATTCAGTGTTGGTATTTAGACATTTTAAATATGGTTAATATGATGAACACGAGACAAAGGAATGATGTTATATATTTTTGGCTTATTTCTTGGAAAAAACTAACATTAACATGTATTTTAAATCACAAATTAATAAATTATTTATAAAATATTTGTTCAGAATGTGTGTATTTAATATTTTGAAATTTTAAATAGTATAATAATTATATTTAAATTTTTTTTACTAGAATATTCTTAACATATATTTTTTAAAACACATGTTAGCATGATTCTATCTTCTTTTTAATGTCGTATTTAACTTTTGTTTAATTTAATTTTTTAATTTTATTAAAAATGATCCGTATTAATTTCATAACTCTTTAAAAAGTTTTATATTTAACTCTTTTGTTTAATTAACATTAAAAAACTTTAAAATTGATTATTGAATTCATCTTTAATTAAACGACAAGAATTATTATGATATTTGGAAGAATTATAAAATTAATATGAATTTTTTTTAAATTAAAAACCAAAATGAACATATATCTAAATTAACATACGAAACCAAAAAAATTATATATATATATATATATATATATATATATATATATATATATATATATATATATATATATATATATATATATATATATATATATATATATATATATATATATATATATATATATATATATATATATATATATATATATATATATATATATATATATATATATAAGAGAATATAATGTTTTTATTTATAAATAAAATATTTATTGCATAAAAGAAAAAAATTATAAAATATAAATTTATCTCATTAAAAAAAACTTAAATATATTTTTTAATCTCTATTTTTATAAAATGATGTATTAGTCATCGTTTTAAAAATTCAAAATTTTGTTCCTTCTAATAAGTTTAAAGGTTTTTTTGGTATCACTAGATTAAAGGTAGTGTATTTTCAATATAAATTAGTTTTATATTATTATTTAAAAAATTATAATATTTTGTCATGTACTGCCTGTATTTGAAAATTAAAAGTGTGATTTGCTAAAATATAGTGCATATTAAAATGAGAAAAAGAGTATATATTTTTACAGTGTCAATCAATCACCATCATGTATTTAGTCAAGTCACACTTTAATTTTTAAAATACCGATATGATATGGCGGGATGAAAAAATCTTATTGGATGATATATAAAACAATGTTACACCGTTAGTGCACTATGTTTAACCTCTTGAATTAAAATATAAAAAAAAAAGCCAATACTTTCAAAAGAAAATTTTTTGAAATTTTTTATCGAATAACCAAAATTTTCAATTTTAATACCTAACTAACCAGTCTTTCCACATGATTTCCAATCTAACCATGTTTCAAACAAAAAAAAAAGGATTAAAGAGGAGGCGCCACTTGAATAGACGTCTCCTATATTTTTTTTTACTTTTTCCAATTTACCTGCGGATTTACTTGTGAATTTGACGTTACCTGCGGATTTACTTGCAGATTTACCTGTGCGTGCTTGTCTGTAGGTCAATCCGCAAGAAAATTCGTAGGTAACACCAAATTCGCAGGTAACTAGAAAAAGTAAAAAAATATAGGAGGCGTCAATTCAAGTGGCGCCTCCTCTTTAATCTATTTTTTTTGTTTGAAACATGGTTAGATTAAAAGTTATAGGAAAATGTTGGTTAGTTGGTTAGTTGGATATTAAAATTGAAAATTTTGATTATTTAAAAAAAAATTCAAATTTTTTTCGTCATTTCTTCTCTACTAAATCTAACAACCCTTAAATTTACATCCTCTTATTCTTCTCCAAGATAATGAATCTACATTCTTCTCTTCTTCTTTTGATAAAAAAGAAAATAAAGATTTGGAAGAAAAAAAGAATTAAGAAACCAAATCATAGAGAAACCTACTCAAAGGAAAACTGAAATGAAATCAACTTTAAAATCAAACTAAAGGAAGGAAATCAAAATCGAAATCAAACTGTAAACGAAATGTAGATCGAACTCCAAAATTGAAATGAAACTTCTTAGTCCCTGAATGTCTTAAACTCATGATATAATACTAAAATAAATCGAAACTTGCAACTATTGCTTATCTCTATTTTAGAAAAGAGATCGAAATACTAAATTAGATGACTGGAAATTAGAGTTCTTTTTAGTATGTTTCCTCTATTTCATAAAAACTCATATTTCTTATCCATTTTTGAACTATTTGTTGCTTATTTATTATTATTGTTGTTTTGGTTTATAGTTTCAAATAAGAAAGATGAAAAAGTGCTATGGTCGACCTTAAAACCCCAATATCGCGGCTATGATTTATTGTCTTCATTTGGTGTGAAAATCTTTGTAACTTTGTCCTTTAGAAAAGGTTAAGGAGTGTGGGTGTAGTATACAAACTATATCCTTAGCCTTGATTACCAAGAAATGTGGGTCTATTTTGACTAGTCCAGAATAGTTATCTCTATTTGAGGATAAGAGGTGGGGTACAAGTAATATTTCAGTTTGTTAGTTGTAATTCAAATCCAGTTTTGTAATTAGCATTTGAATTTAATTTTCATTTGCGTTTGAGTTTGTATTTGGTTTTGCATTTAAGTTTCATTTGAATTTTGGTGTTAGTATAAAACCCAAGATTGTTGCATTTGTAACATAATTCTGATTTTGAGAAATAGTTGGAAAGTTAGTTACAAAATTTTCTCTCTCTCCTTTCATCTTCATCTTCAAGCTTCTTGTGCATCAATGGAGGTGTGAACTCCAATAAATTAGTATCAAGAGTTCTAGTTCTGATCACAAGGAAACTGAGTGTACATGATGTGTGTAATTGATTTTATTCCTCAAATTCACACTGAATTGAGATCCAAATCAGAGAAGAATCATATTTTTGTATTCTTATGGATTGGGAAACACGAGTATTTTGAGAGATTTGAGTGAATTGCACAAGAACGAAGATGAACGGCGGAAACGGTAGCTTGGACACAAAGCTTCTAGTATTCGACATAAATAATTTAAATTAGTGGTCGATTCATATGTGTGTGTTGTTTGGAGCTCAAGATATTCTTGATCTCGTCAATGACGATTACACGCCGGTTGTAGAAGATGCAATAGAAGTGCAAAGAAACATGCAACGTAATATACTGAAGGAGGATACTAAGGCATTATTCTATATCCATCAGTGTGTGGATATGAAGGTGATTGAGAATATTGTCGATGTGAAGACGATGAAAGTTGTGTGGGATACACTGGTGCAATGCTAAAGAGGTGACACAACAATGAAAAAATGAAATTGCAGTCCCTACGCAAGCAATACGAGAATCTCGGGATGAAAAACAATAAGAATGTATCAGATTACAGACCTAGAGTGACTCTGATCACGAATGAGATGAAGGCGTGTGGAGAAACTCTTCCTGAACAAGCTATCATTAAAAAGGTTCTCAGATCCCTTATTCCTCAGTTTGATTACATAGTTGTAGCTATATAACATTCTAAAGACACACTACTACAGAAAAGACATACCACAACGGTTGTAAAAGAGATACCATAACGCCCGACCAAGCATTGTGAGGTAAGAGGTGGTTGTATGTCTGGTGCTTTCCACGATGGTCATGAGACCGTGATAATAAGGTATGACGCGCGTTACCTATCGCAACGGTTACGCCTAACAACTGTTGTAATATATTTTAGGTAATGGATTCAAAACCCAACAACAACAATTTATTTGGAATATATTTAATATTTCACCACAGTTAAAATAAATAATCGTTGTTGAAATCATTCTGGGTTTATTATGTAATATGTTGATTGCTTGTTTTTCCATACAACTCACTAAACAAATACAACCATTCATATTGATGAAGAAGAAAATAATCTAAAAATTAAATTATTCTTGAAAAACAACTTAAGCAAACCACCGTTTTTCGAATTGCCTGTATGTCATAACTCATATCTTGCTCTTTAGCATATAGAATATGGTTCAATGACTCAAGTCTTTCATAGCATTGATTCCTTCTCTTTTAGTTTATTTTGAATATCATCAACTCATTGGCTAATTCTGACTCATCATCGTCACAATCATGATGGTAGTGACGATGATGAGTGAAACTTATCCAATAAATTAATGCTATTCAAAATAAACTAGAAGATAAGAAATCGATTCCATGAAGAACTTAAGTAATTGAACTATATGTTAAAGAGCGTGAGATGAATTATGAGATGGATTCAATTTGAAAAACATTGATTGGTCTAAGTTGGTTTTCAAGTACAACTTAATTTTCAAATTATAAGTTTCTAAATCAGTTTAAATGAATGCATTTTTAGTGAAGGGTTAGCGAAACAAACAACCTACATACAATATAATAAACTCAACTTGATCTTTTGTTAATTTTAAGAAATTAAAGAACATAACATTGTTAAGTCACAAGAAGTTTTTTTCTTGTGACTTAGCAATGTTTTGGTCTTGTTCTGACAACATTAATCAACAACAATAACATACAACAATATTTATCAACAACATACATTTTATCAACAAAACACAGACAATATACAACAACATAATACAACAACACAATACAACATAAAATGTTTCACGAACGTA